TAAAGTTGAGGAGCTCTTAACTAAAATACATGAAGGCAGCTGTGGCACCCATTCTGGGGGGCGCTCATTGGCCCACCGAGCCATAACACAGGGGTATTATTGGCCGACCATGTGAACAAATGCCGAGAACTACGTTAGGAAATGCGAACAATGCCAGAAGTTTTCCCCTTTAACCCATCTGCCTGCTGAGGAATTAAACTCTATCACTAGTCTTTGGCCGTTCGCTCAATGGGGACTCGATATCGTCGGACCACTACCGCGAGCTCCAGGCAACAGACGATTCCTGGTTGTCGCAATAGATTATTTTACAAAATGGGTTGAAGTAGAGGCCTTAATACATATTCGCGATGTCGATGCTAAGCGTTTTGTATGGAAAAACATCATAATACGATTCGGCATTCCAAGAGCACTTATTTCAGACAACAGAACCCAGTTTGATTAAGGTGTCTATCGAGAACTGTGCAGCAAGTATGGTATTTGACCCTATTTTTCCATCTCGGCTTATCCATAGAGTAATGGCCAAGTTGAAGCTTCCAACAAAGCCATTTTGGATGGCATCAAGAAGAGGCTGGAGAAAGTTAAAGGCAAATGGGTCGAAGAATTGCCGAGTGTGTTGTGGGCTCATCGCACTACTCCGAGGTGGTCCACTAGGGAAACACCGTTCGCTTTATGCTTCGGAACGTAGGCAATCATCCCCTTGGAGATCGGCCTCCCAACCTTGAAATCAAAATTTTTTGATATGGGCCGAAACGACATGAAGCTGGCCTTGGATTTGACTCTGATTGAAAAACAAAGAGATCGTGCCCTTGCATCCATGGCACGATACTAGCAGCAGCTTGCTAAGTCGTATAATCAACATGTTCAGCCACGCCGCTATGTACTAGGCGAATTAGTCCAGAAGAAAGTGCTTCCAGCTGCCAGGAATCCGGATGACGAAAAATTGGGTCCTAACTGGGACGGCCCCTACCAGATCAATTCAATCGCGGGAACAGGGGCATATCGGCTCAATGACATGTCTAGGAGGAGTCTGCCACGCCCTTGAAATTCCACGCATCTGCGTAAATTCTATCATTAAACCTAACTTAACGGGCATGATAGCTATTTTGAATGATTCATCATGTACCGATTTCACTTTTACAATGCAAAGTCTCCTATTTTCTTATTGTGCAATTCAATTCAAAGGTCTTTCGTTTAATCCTCTGGATTCGAAGCACCCTTCGTGGATATCACGATTGGCCAAGATAAAAAAAGCCTCCGAATTCGGAGCCCCATCCGTGCAGGTCACGTTTGGACCGAATAAGCCTCCGGATTCGGAGCGCCCTTCGTGGATATCACGATTAGCTAAGATAAAAAAGCCTCTTCGTGGATATCACAATTGGCCAAGATAAAAAATCCTCCGAATTCGGAGCCCCATCCGTGCAGGTCACGTTTGGGCCGAATAAGCCTCCAGATTCGGAGCGCCCTTCGTGGATATCACGATTGGCCAAGATAAAAAAGCCTCCGAATTCAGAGCCCCATCCGTGCAAGTCACTTTTGGGCCGAATAATACTTCGAATTCAGAGCACCCTTCGTGAATATCACGATTGGCCAAGATAAAAAAGCCTCCGAATTCGGAGCCCCATCCGTGCAGGTCACATTTGGGACGAATAAGACTTCGGATTCGGAGCGCCCATCGTAGATATCATGATTGGCCAAGATAAAAAATGCCTCCGAATTCGGAGCCCCATCCGTACAGGCCACGTTTGGACCGAATAAGCCTCCGGATTCTGAGCGCCCTTCGTGGATATCACAATTGGCCAAGATAAAAAAGCCTCCAAATTCGGAGCCCCATCCGTGCAAGTCACGTTTGGGCCGAATAAGACTCCGGATTCGGAGCACCCATCATGGATATCACGATTGGCCAAGATAAAAAAGCCTCCAAATTCAAAGCCCCATCCGTGCAGGTCACATTTGGGCCGAATAATACTTGGGATTCGAAGCGCCCTTCGTAGATATCACGATTGGCCAAGATAAAAAAAGCCTCTGAATTCGAAGCCCCATCCATGCAGGTCACATTTGGGCCGAATAAGCCTCTGGATTCGGAGCGCCCTTTGTAGATATCACAATTGGCCAAGATAAAAAAGCCTCCGAATTCGGAGCCTCATCCGTGCAGGTCACGTTTCGGCCGAATAAGCCTCCGGATTCGGAGTGCGCTTCGTGGATATCACGATTGGCCAAGATAAAAAAGCCTCCGAATTCGGATCCCCATCTGTGCAGGTCACGTTTGGGCCGAATAAGCTTCCGAATTCGGAGCGCCGTTCATGAATATCATGATTGACCAAGATAAAAAAAAATCCTCCGAATTCGGAGCCCCATTCATGCAGATCACGTCTGGGCCGAATAAGACTCCGGATTCAAAGCGCCCATCGTGGATATTACGATTGGCCAAGATAAAAAAGCCTCTGAATTCGGAGCCCCATCCGTGCAGGTCACGTTTGGGCCGAATAAGACTCCGGATTCGAAGCACCCTTCGTGGATATCACGATCGGCTAAGATAAAAAAGCCCCCGAATTCGGAGCCCCATCCGTGCAGGTCACGTTTGGCCCGAATAAGACTCTGAATTCAGAGCGACCTTCATGGATATCACGATTGGCCAAGATAAAAAAGCCTCCGAATTCGAAGCCCCATCCGCGCAGGACGCGTTTGGGCCGAATAATAATCCAGATTCGGCATGTTTCTCATGAATATTACGATTAAAAAGCACGCGTTGTTGACAAAAATTGAAACATGCAAACATTTAAAACAGGGTGTTTTATTAAATTAACCAATAAATACATAATTTGAGCCCAATCTGTGTTTGAGCGTTTACAATAAGTTCAATTTTATTCGGCATCACCCTCGTCGTCGTTCTTCTCGATTTTGAAACTGCTAAAGGGAAAGTGATGACGTTGGTATAACGGCGACGCCGATTCAACACCTACTTCTCAGAGAGTCTCTACGGCTTGGAGAGCCTTAATCCACCCGTGCCTAAAACCCCGATTCTCGCATCTGCATACTTCCTCGGCGAGTTTCTCCTTAGTCTTGTCTATCCCAACTTTTCAGCCGTCATGGAAGCCTTTCTCATATGCCCTGGTTCTTGCCGTCTCTACTGCAAACATGCTTGCCGTATCTCGATCGGCAATCGCATGACTTATCAGCCGTTGGGTCACCATTTCCTCTACGACCGGGTTAGATTGGTCGGCCGCACGCGGCTCGGCAGTTTTGGCCTTTCTTAACTCACGCTCGGCCTTCTCCGTGCGAGCCTCCAAGGTTCGAATTCCTTCATTCTTCTGCTCTATCTCCCGCCACGCGGCACATAGACGCATGCCAATTTCATAGGCGGTATACAGCCCTTTCACTACTCCGTGGATACCCTCTTGAAACACTTCGAAATCCTGTCGACCGACCATCGACTACTGGACTTCTGGTGGAAAAATCTGTCGAGCGAACTCGACTGCCACACCTGGGTCGTGAACAATTGAATTCGCTTCCGTCATCGGTTTATTCCCCACGAAAACTGTAAAACTCAACGGTCGCGGTGTCGCATCGGATTCACTTCTCGGTCGCGGTCGAGAGGAACTGCCCTATTGTTGTTTTTCCCTTCTAGGTGATCTACTTCGACGACGTGAGGACTGACGTTTTTCCCGTTCCCTCGACGTCCTACTTCCCGTGCACATAGGCTCGCCACTGCGATTCTTCTCTGTATCCAACTCAGCCAATGTCCTCCCTTCTCCTCTATTGTTGAAGAATAGTCTACTTGACATTCGCACTTATCTAACCTTCCTTAACAGACTGGTTTAAATTGAGTCTGAACACACTAATGGCATTTATGGGCGCGAAGAACTCACCCCATTTATTCCTAACGGGTGCAGCGCCCCTGAGGCGATTTCGTTAATGCTAAACTTCAAAAGCCCGGTGCCGATACACGCGTGCCACAGCCACTCCATGAACTAATAGTATTCAGCGTTTATAGTTCATACATTGGCTGGGGCTGGGGCAAATTTATTAATCTAATCGGCCAAATATCTAAGCCCGGTGCCGATCTATGCGTGCCACAACCACTCCATGAACTAATAGTATTCGGCGTTTATAGTTTATACATTGGCTGGGACAGGGGCAGATTTATTAATCTAATCAGCCAAATATCGAAGCCTGGTGCCGATCTACACGTGCCACAGCCGCTCCATGAACTAATAGTATTCGGCTTTTATAATTCATACATTCGCTGGGGCAGGGGCAGATTTATTAATCTGATCGGCCAAATATCTAAGCCCGGTGCCGATCTACGCGTTCCACAGCCACTCCATGAACTAATAGTATTCGACGTTTATAGTTCGTACATTGGCTGGGGCAAGGGTAGATTTATTAATCTAACCGGCCAAATATCAAAGTTCGGTACCAATCTACGTGTGCTATAGCCACTCCATGAACTTAATAGTAATATCGGCGTTCCGATTCATGCAGTGGCCACTGGCGAGGGCAGGTTCACTGAAAGCTAATCGGCCATACGACGAGGCTCTGAGCCGTTTTCACTTGTTTTGATAAATTGAAAAGACAAGATAAAGTACTAATTGCCCACAAGATACAGTTATCTAATCGGCAGGTGTTCACGGATATTTAATTCACTCACCTCATAATCCTACATCCTATTGGATCGATAGCTAGCAAGCACAGTAGACAACAATTATTTTATCCACAGTAGCAAAACGCAATACTATTCATCAATAACAAAAATTAAGCACAAATAATAGCAAAGAGCAAAGGAAGTTTTCAAGCAAAGAGAATTTTCATTAGTAAATTGAGTACAGCTAGTAGACATTTTACACATGAAAACTACCTTAAACTAATAGAAATCTATTAAACAAAAAGCTACAACCTTGCATGGAAAATGCCTAGCAAAAATTAAAATGTCACCCTAGTCAATCCTCAGGGTCAGACGCCAGCGGCTCAACGTCCACTTGCTCGAATGGAATCGGCTGGGCCTATGTCACATTCGTGGCAGCAAGGGCTTTGAGCCAGCTGTGTTTGAAGCCCCGATTTTTGAATTTGGGTACTTCATCCGCATAGCTCTCCAAGGCGGCCTCTTGTCCAGCCTGGAACGCTTTGGAAACCTCAAAGTCAGCTTTTTCCTTCGCCTTCTTTGATTCTTCCAAGTCGGCTTCCAACTTGGCAATCACCTCCTTGGCTAGCTGGAGCGCGTCCTCACTCGCTTTTTCCCTGTCCTCGACAGACAGCCTTAACTGGTCGAAGTTCCTCGCGCTCTCGGCCTCAGAGTCGGCCCTCGCACGTTCCTCCGCCGCTTTCGCCGCTTCAGAATCGGCTCTCTGAGAGCCTTCCACAGCCTTGTTCTTTTCATTTTTAACTTCGATTTTCAGCAAAGTGATATGTTCTATAGCGTCATGTTGACGGCGGCCTATTTCAGCTATCTTGCCCACCATCTGCAAAATAAGGAAATAGAGTTAAATAATATTAAAAATATATGTATTTAGGCGGAAGACTGCATATAAAGCACGTACCAATAAAGCCAACTGAGCGGCTAATGCGATCGACAGCAAATCTGGCTCGGCCCGAAATACGGCTCTGTCAACTGGCAGGGAGATCGAAGAGGCCATGATCAAGGCCACAGCCGGGTCTTTTAAAGCCGACGTGTCAGAGGAAATCGGCATGTTTCTTATCTTTGGTTGAACAGTGAACGGAACAACCAAATCCGATTCCTCAATACGCGGCCATTTATCGGTTTGCTCTTCAACGGACTCGGCTTCTTTCTCGGCGGGGCGTTTCTCCCCCCTTTGCTCAACCTCCTGATTCGCCTGCTCTACCTGCTCCAACTCGGCCGTTTGGGTTTGAGCCGTCTCTTCCTCAACAATAGGCAGGGAGGGCTCAGCATCGGCAACAGGTGGAAATTCCGATCGAATGGCCTCGGCTCTCTGCCGGGCGGCCATTCTTGCGGCGTTTTTCTTCTTGGCAAGTTGTGTGAGTGACAACCCAGCCATGTCCTCAGGGTACGCGCCGAAAAGATCTTCTAAACCTGTAAAGATGTCGTCGAAGGAAACGTCCCCTCGGCCTGAGGTAGACGGAGGGTTAGACGAATTGAGGCCGGCTTCCTCAAAGACCAACTTCAAAGCCTCGTCTACTTCGGCTTCAGACTGGTTTGACTCCTCAGCGACCTCCTCAGCTACCTCCGCTTGCTCCGAATCGGATCTGTCCAAACCAACTTGCCTCAAGTTTTTGAAGTTGGTTAAGATAAGGGCCGTAAGAAACTCTTCGCCCCTCGGAACTGGGATGTTTTCTGCTGCCGAAAACGTCGTATACGTCGGCTTGTATCGAAGAAGAATGTGGGCCACCCTCCCTTGTTTCTGAAGGCTTGGACGGCCAAAGTATTGGAGCGCGACTTTAATTTCCACAAGAACGGCATCGTCGGTTGAAACCAAAACTTTCTTCAAATCGTTTCCTGCACAAGTAAAATCATGAGACCGCAAAAATAAAGCCGAGTAAATATAAGAAAGATAAACGCAAGGAGCTATATGGCCGCCTGGTTCGCCTCTCTGTCTAGGAATAGGATCTAGGCGGTCCTCGCCTTCGCCGAATTCCCAATTACCTCGGACAACGACCATGACACCATCGACTCGCTTGTCAGAGCTAGAAAGCATAGTCACTAATTGATGGTCGGTGTCCTTGGCCCTAAGGAAATAGTGTTCATGCCGGCTAGAAGGCTTGGCCAAGGCATAACAATGCCGGATAGCAAGTATGTCGAGATTAATCCTAAGGTGACAGTTTCACTCTATGATTCCCATTATGATTCGAAAAAAATTTACATTAGGTTGGGAAGGGATTAGACCCCAATGGCGAAGGACGGCCCTAAGGAATGGGTGAAGGGGGAAACAGACTCCGCCCTCTGCAATTGATAAGAGAGGGAAGACGATTGTGCTTTCATCAACCCTTTCCATATCAAGGGTGTTGTCTGTCACGAGTGACAGACGGACGTCATCAGGGATGGAAAAATGGCGTCGAAAGCCAGAGGCTCGATCCGCAGAAATGAGGTCTTTCAGATGCTTTGCCATTTTTGTCAGTCTATGGAAAACTAAAAACAAACCAGGAAAAGGGATTCGAAGTAGAGAGGAAGAGAAGAAGCGGAGAAGACAATGAAGGATAAAAGGAGGTTGCAGAGGTGAATCAAAAGGCACACCAAGAGCTTCAAGTATTCAAAAATGTGTGCGCATTTGAAAAGACAACAAAATTTTAAATCACAATAAATGGAAAAAGCGTACGAAGGGACGGGAAGTTATAATGATCACCGAAAGGCGTGTAAGCTCTAACATTCACGTTGGAATGAGGTTAGTTGCTGAATTTCGGCTCTGACTTTTCGAGTTCGAAACCAAACACACCGGCTAACTGTCGTTAGTGGAATGTTTGGGGAGCAATTGTGGGGGCCGAGTATTAGGGTATTGAAAGAGACCGAATAAGTGAACTTAGAGAGTCGAGATATATATATTGTATACGACCCAGTCTTATACAAATCCAGAAGTATCCTAATCGGTCACATAACCAGTTGAGCGAGGAGCCGAATGAAGAGGGTTTGCACCAAAAGGAGCCGAGTAAATAGTTACACGGTGGATTAAAGGTGGGCCCAACCCTGAGGCTCAAGAAAAGATATAAATAGAAGCATGTCAACCAAAGAGAGATACGTGAGAACTAGTAAGCTTAACTTAAGATAGAAGTAGACAAGAGAGTACACACTGACTTGTCCGTCGGAGTGTTAATTTCGACACCCCCGATCGGATTGTTCATCCCCTTTCAAGTTGCTAGCTGAGGATCTCGAGCGTCCCTTTGGATCCAAAGAGTATTTCCAAACCACTTCTCCACAGGGACCAATGAGATTTTTAATTTGAATAAAGCATCCTAGAGTCAGTTTATTGACCCGAGTTTGCCTAATTAGAGGTAAGGATTTCCAACATAATACCTTAATGCCATGCTAACGATACACGTCATAGTGATTTTAAATGAAGGAGCTCTAATGAGCTCTAATAACATGAAAAATCAAAAACAAAATACAAAATACAAAAATCACTATCACAGTGAGACCCACCCCCAATTAGAGCTCATTTATTAGAGTTCTAAAACATTTTGGGTTTTTCTTTTTTTTTTTTTTAATTGATGGAGAATTAACTATAACGAGATGGTGTGGCGGTTGGGCAGCATGTATTGTCATTAGCATCTATTTTAGGGTCTATTTTGATATTTTAAATCGTTCACTTAGAGTAAAATATTTTTGTAAAAAAATTAAGTTGATTGGACATCAATAATCTTTTCATCGAATCACACTAGTATTCAATTTTATAATTCAAATCACATTGTCATTGAATACAAATGCGATTCGATCAAAGAATTATCGATATCTGATCAACTAAATTTTTTCCAAGAATATTCTACTTGATGTATTCGAAAAAATTGAACGATTTGAATAATCAAAATGGGCCTTGAAATAATCCCCAATAGCCACACAGTAGCCACACCATCTTCTAACTGGAAATATAAAAATAATTACATTAATTTAGACAATTATAATTTAACAATGTATCTCTATAAGTCTAGCATCAACCACAAAGAAATCACCTAGTCCAACCCAACAATTCTCAGTATAACTCTCATAACGAGAGAAAAATAATAAAATAAGTATCAAACTCATCATCTCCATATCTATAAGGTTAAAGGACCTACTTATTCTAATATTATATAATCCTACTTAGTCTTGGTGATTTTATTATATAATCCTGATTATAATATGATATGATAACATAATAAACAAATAAGTCAATTCAATATAAAATTTATATAATATAAAATTGACACGAATAACAAATTTAATTAAGAGTTACATACTCTAATATTATTTTTAGTATAAAGTGTCATAAGATATTTAAATTCCTTATGTAATTCTAGCTCGAATAAAAAAATATATATAAAATAATCTTTTGATCTCAAGATAGTTTTTTTTTTTTATTTCTATTTGAGATAATTTAATTAATTAATTTATAATTTCAAAGTTAATCTAGTAAATAATAAATATATAAAAATAACTCATTGACAAATGGTTGAGAAATTGACAGTTGTATCTAGAATTTGAATACCCTATCTACAAATTCATTTCCGCTAAAATTTGGCAGGAATGGTATGAACCATATTGGTGGAAATTTGGGGATAGGAAAGTGTAAGTGATACTGGACCTAATTATGTCTTGTGATTCAGTTCTGAAGGGAAAATTTCACTACATATCATAATTCCAATATTTATAATTCGATAGATTTGGCACATTGCAATAAAACAAAGTCGTGAATTAAAATCTTCGAATGAAATTCTATTTTCTTGTATTGTTATACATTACCAGCTGATGCTGCCAAGCTAAGAGAATTTTTTAATATAGTACATGAATTTTGAAGAAGAAGTTGCCTTTAGTTGGCTAGCTTAGCCATTGGAGTACATGCACTTGCACTTTCGAATGATTTAGTATTTTTCAATTTCTTTACTCACTTCAATGGTTCATATGGTTTTTCTCTTAACAAAAACATTGAGAATATATTGAAAAAGTACACCCCCAGCCGATAATCCAAATTACACATGTGAATTTTATTTTAAAAGCATCCTATATGATCCTTCATTTTTAGTTTATGTCAATAGCCTCTTGGACAATCTCCCATGTATTTAAAAATAAATTCTATTTGTATGCTAAACAACAAACGGAATACAGAAAACATAAAAGAAATGAGAGAGATAGTTTGATTAGAAAAATCAAACCAGTAAATAAAAATAAATTTTGTTACAAAAATAATATCAAAATCTGATATAAATAAATAATAAAAGAGAAAATAAATTAACAACTTACCAAATTAATTTCTTAAACAAATTTTTTGATCAAGTCCAGTGTTTAACACTGTGTCCTTAAGACAGATTCGTCCTCTCCACAGTGCTTTCAAATTGTGGACATTTATCTCCCAAGATAAAATGATCAACAGTGAATAGTTACAGCACTACACACTATTCACACAATGAACACACTAAGTGTTTACACTCTTTATCACAAGGAAAATAATGCAGCAAAATGCAGAGAGAGCAAACAGAATTTGGGACGAAAATTGGAGTGAAAAAATCAAGTGAGGGCTTGCCTATTTATAGATGCAGTGGTACCTTTTCAATTTGAATTAAATAAGTAGCATACTTGTTTAAACACCTATTCGGTTTGAATGAACAGATACAAATCTGTTGGGTTTAAATTTCGAACAGATAAAAACCGAATTAAATAGATTTGAATCTATATAGAAATTTGGAAGAAGTGAAAAACAAATTTGTATTTTTCCCATCAAAATTTGAATTTAAAACTTTGGACAGATTTTATTTTACCAAACAAATAAAATTAAATTCAAATGTTTTTTGCCCAAAAAAATAAGTATTGGGCCAAACTAGCCCAATCCAACCTCACATCACGCATTCGCGCCTGCGCCCAACCCACCCGACCGAACGGATGGGCGACGGCGCGTGCATGTGTTTATTTTTGGGTCCAATGGGTCTAGCCCAATTTGCCCATAACTTCTTCATTCTACAAACTTGGGGTGCCCCTTAGGGCCCTCCCCAAGTTACAAACCAATGCCTTATAAACCCACATAAGTTTGCCCACCAAACCAATGTGGGACAAACTTTAAGCCAAACCTTTAGAAAATTTCACCAAAAACACCATTTCCATGGAGCTTTCTTTGGCTTCATTTTTCTATTCACCCGATAATGGTTTTGAGCAACCAAATATACTACGTGAATCACAACACGGCATAGAACGCGTTACCACTTAGACCCGCCGTAGTAGTAGTTTTTTTTTTTTTTTTTTTGATAACTCAGGGTGTCCGGGTCAACTTGCGCGTACCTCGACTAATCCCTGGGGGACCAATCCCACCATCCACTAGCGAGGGGCCCATTTAAAGCCAGAGCAAAGCTCTGCATGGACTGGCCCAACACAATGATTGATAGCACCTAAGAGGTTTTGAACTTGAGACCTAAAGAGAAGCAAACTCCTAAGTCCCAAGCCTACACCACTAGGCTAACCCTTGGGGGTTGCCAAGTGCAGTAGTTTTATCATTCACCACCATATGAAGTGATTACTTAGTTCTAGTTCTATTGAGTTGGCATATCTATTGTTCGTACTTAAGCTCATTGCAAAATCTAGAAGTCCCCTAGATATTAATTTGTGATTATGTATCAATTTTAAGTAATAAAACAATCACAATCAAACAATCAAGACAGATCGACACAACGATTTTAATGGGAAAAAACCACAATTGGAGCACCTCTAATTATGATTAAAAAAATCATAGGCAACAGCAACAAAACAATCCACTAAGAAGATATAAAAGAATTACATAAGTGTACTCTTAATTACCTAGCGAATCCACGCCTGAATTGAACCAACCCTTATGTGCCTCTTCCAACCTTGTCTTCACCTCGGAATTGTCTTGCCCAACATTAAATCCACAACGCCGATGTCGAATCACGACGATGAGCCACTCCGGAATCCACCAAAGAACAATTCTCTCTTTTGTATTGAATAAACAAACAATCTTTTGATGTATACTTCTTAAACCATGAGTTGAATACTCAATCAATCATC